CTCGCTCATTTTTTTCTCTAATTTGAATTTAAATTATGATCAAGATTTATTTATTCAATTAGCATTTCCATTGAATCTGTCAATAAATACCAATCGATTAATGATCGTCAGTATCACCAAACTTAATCAACCATTTATTTACTGACTAAATTTAAATAGAAAAACATAGAGGGGGACAAACAGAGACACATTGTGTACGTTTGTGTGTGTGTGCGTGTGTATTTATTATTTATATATATCTGTGTATATTTATCGGTTCTCATAATTATATATCGGAAATATGAAATTATAAATGTAAAGAAAATTAATTAGGTCGTTTTAAAATATCATAAATGTGATAGAAAAAGCATAGAAAATTAAATGGGAGCATATTAATAGAAAATTTTTTCCAATTCAATAAATTTTGGGAGGAAGTTAGGGTAAGTAATATATAGATAGTTAGTTAAGTAGGTAGTAGTATAGTTGGTGATAATAGTATTTCATGGGCTGAATAAGTTTTTTATTTGATGCAATAACTATAATACTACTTATATATTTTTTTTTTATTTAACTGAATAAATTCTAAATAATAAATGTAAATTATTAAGTGATAAAAAGAAATTTAATAATGATAAAATTAAAATTTAATTATGACAAGAGCACTTCTTGTATTAATTTTAAAGTATATAAAGTAGATTAACAAAAAGTAATAGTAGTTTATATTCAGAATCTTGGAAAAATTAGTGTATAAGCAAAAGGTGGCGAGTCCCGGGTTCCTAGTATTGGCATGCTTGGCGGATTAGTGTCCATCCATTGTGAACTAACCGCTCGGTGGGTGAAGCACATGATATGAAACGGTTCAGTGGTAAGCTTGAACCTTGGCCGTTTGACCATTTTCAATTTGGTGGTTAAATTTTTTATCCACTTAAACACAGGGATGTTTATGTGACACACAAGTCAAAGAATTTGTGTGTGAGCTGATATACTACCACATGGTTCATTCCAAAGCCCGTTTTCTTAGGAGGTCGATTCCTACACCAACGATCCAAAAGTCTAATCTTCAAGGTAGTGGACCAACTTTAGGAGATGAAGTCCAATGATAACAGCTGGCCGAAAATATCATCATTTACCATTTGTTCTGTCAGGATCGTGAAGCCCCTATACACCAGTGATTTTAAATGAAGGTTTTCCAACGCCTCTATGCGGATTCCCAATACCCATCAATATGATCAAACATTCGCTTTTCGTCCCCTCAATTCGGTAAACAACACCCATGTGATGGGAATGTAGTGAGTGGAAATTTCCTGGTAGTCATCGAATAAGCATAGCCATTTATTTGTGGAGAGACAAAGAAAGAGCAGGCTTTTTCCACTCTCACCTGTACAAAGACATTTAGGAGCATCAATTAATTTGCTACAAAGAGCTTAAAGCTCATAGTTACAAACTATTATTCTCGTTACCTTAGTCGATAAACGAGAACGAGACAATGAACCAGCGTCCAGGTAGGCTACCCTGATCCGTGACTAACGAAAAGTCTTAACATAGCTTAGAAAGTTTATTCTACAAACACCCAACAAGCACAGTGAATTCCAGCACACAAATCGCGTTTATTTATGAATCATAGAAACGTCCTTGGGAGAGTAACAAAAATAGCACACTAAAATAACATCGTAACCAATCACAGCCTGATGGGAAATGTGATCTCAAGGTCAACTAATCAGCTCATGAATAAAATCCAAAATAAAGACATTTATCAAGCAAGTTCTGGGGATCTAACATCTCCAACAACATATAAACTTATACCATTGGTAAACTACATTTTGACCAACGAAAACATACAACTATTTACTTATTCAAAATTATTAACCATTAAGTTTGAGTTAGATGCAAAATTCTTGTCATTCTAACCAATGGAATATCACTAATCTCAAGTTCAAAGTCAACAACAGTTCAATAAGATTTTAATTGACCACTACTCTATTTCTTGTTCTGATAAATATGGAACATCTCATTATATTATAATCTTTTATTCTCTATCATTTTGAAGTTACAGTTTGTCGTCTTTAAGACAGTCCTTTTAGTTAGTAACTGACAAAGTACAACCACGATTATTTAACAAGCCCATCACCTAATGCCATGGATATATGAAAATCATACTCTACACACACAAAAGCAAGTGTAAAAGTATTATATACCAACCAATTCAGTAGCTTATAAAGTATCGAAATCACAAGGACACTTGAAGATAATGGATTGATTGAATTGCCAGTGTTTTTAATTTTGCGACGATACCATTGAAATGTGTGTGGTTTCGCTTTTTCAGCGCAAAGATGGAACTTCTCAATTCTTTTTATATCATCATTTAACATTGGAACAGCCATCACTATGATACTGATGATTATGACTGTTATCAAATGATTCAGATTGCTTATGGACGATTACATATTAATTTGCTTTTGCCTTTCATCATGTCGATTAGTTACGCAATCGTTTATTATTTTCTATACGACTAAGTAATACCCTACTTTGATCATGATTATTGATTATTATAGCCCTATCTTCTCGTCTCTAGGTATGCTTAAAGTATTAAGATTTCACCATAGTCGAATAACGAGAACAAAACAATGAACCAGTGTCCAGGTAGGCTACTGTGATCCGATTGTTACAATTTCACCAGCAAGAAGTCTTGATATAGAGTAGAAAGTGCATTATACAAACACCCAACAAACACCCCGTAGAGACATCTTTGGGACACTCACAAAAATAGTACACTAAAATGACACAGTAACCAGTCACAGTCACGGATTTTCCTGGTGTGAAATGTGATCTAAGGGCAACTGATCAACCCATGAAATAGATCCAAAATAAAGATATTTATCAAGCGAGTTTTGGGGATCTAACATCCCCAACGAATATATAAAAAAAAACAATCGAAACAAGTCATAAGTTTGTTGATAATCGATAGTAAATCCTGTAATTTTTAACGATTCTTGGAGCTGATGACAAAGAAGTATTGAAATGACATGAATCTACTATATTGAACAAGATCTTGTTGTTCTTACTTCGCTTAGTTTAGTCAGTCTATTAATAATAAATGTGGAGAAACAGATTACTGAAATGTTACATATAAAAATTAATTTTTAAGAAAAGGAGATACAGCTGAGAAAGAACAAGGATTGTACAAACTGATGCTTTACGATCATATAAGTCAGGTTTAGGGTTATAGATCATAATAGTTTCATTGATATGAAAAAAACTAACACATAAACCAAGATGTATATTTGATAGTTTATGGTGAATAATTCAAAAAGCTTTGTTCAAGTTTATTTAGTGTTCTTTGACAATCAAGTGGACAAAGATTAAGCTCTTAGTCAATCTTAACTGTCTTGTCTTTAACCAAGTCAAATAGTGATCCAATTTACAATGATGTAGTTACGGAATTATAAATCCTGTGTTATCAGCTCTAGGAGAGTAGTTTAATCAGTCATAAATGTAGCGAAATTTAGTCGATTTTATTTGCTTCAAGTTGAAATTGTAAAATACGGTATTCACTTTCACTGAAATGAACAATTTCTATATCATTATGATAAGTGAGATGGTGGAGAAAATTTGTAGCTCATTTGGATGTTTCTGATGGAGTTTTGATCTTTGAGCTGGATATTTTGGTTATGGAGCTTTCATTTTTCTTCCTGTTCTTCAACATCATCAGCACAAAGACATACAGAAAATTACAGCACGACTACTGAAACCATTTTGGAATAGGTGTAGCATACAAACCAACCGAATCACTCCAATCAATTCTACGTAAATCAAAGGACAAAATGACAAGAAGAAAAACCAAATATCTCCCCAAAATCAACTGTTAAGACCGTGGAAAATATTACATAGGACAAAGTGGACGGCCTCTTCAGCTTCGTTTACGTGAACACCAATCGGCAGTCAAATGCCACGACAACGCTTCGCTTATATCAATACACACCGACAGTTATGGACATACATTCGATTGGAACAATGTGGAAATACTGGATAGGGGGAGAACAAAGAACACTGGAATTTTTAGAACTTGGCACTCAGGTCTGTCAGCAATCTACAAACACATCGACATTGACCCAATTTATGTACCAAACAGGACAAATCATAGGCAAACTCACTTCAACTTTACGACGAGCTTCTGCGGTAGCTAATTCCAACTGACTAATATCGACATGTTGTAGACCGGATTCTTTTAAATCATTCAATCGTTTTTCAGCTTCAATTAAAGCTTTTTCATGCTCTTCTAAAGCTGTGAAATGACCCTGCACAATAGGAAAGAAAAATTATTGAAGTGGAAAATTGAGAGAAAAACATTCGTATTACTTCTCCTAGTTGTGACTGAAGCATCATATAAACGTTCCCTTTGGATCATTCAAAATAATCATGAATATTTAATACGTAGTTCAGAATAAGTCTAGTTGACATTTTTCAATGATTTAAATAAATACCTTAATGTTGCTTATTTTATCCCAAATGCTCTGGTATGGCCGAGTGGAGACAGTCCGCTCTGATTTTTTCTATATCACTGTCTCTGAAAGCTCTGATTTGGCTATATGTATATATCACTACTTGGGACTCTACTCACTGCCTTCCCATCATCAATGGGTATTGTTTACCGAATTGAGTGGATGAACAGCAAATTTCCAAATTAGGCCTAACTCAGTTTAGGCCTAATTTGGAAATTTGCTGTTCATCCACTCAATTCGGTAAACAATACCCATGTGATGAGAAGGCAGTGAGTAGAGTCCCAAGTAGTGATTATATACATATAGCCAAATCAGAGCTTTCAGAGACAGTGATATAGAAAAAATCAGAGCGGACTGTCTCCACTCTTGGCCATACCAGAGCATTTGGGATAAAATAAGCAACATTAAGGTATTTATTTAAATCATTGAAAAATGTCAACTAGACTTATTCTGAACTACGTATTAAATATTCATGATTATTTTGAATGATCCAAAGGGAACGTTTATATGATGCTTCAGTCACAACTAGGAGAAGTAATACGAATGTTTTTCGCTCAATTTTCCACTTCAATAATTTTTCTTTCCTATTGTGCAGGGTCATTTCACAGCTTTAGAAGAGCATGAAAAAGCTTTAATTGAAGCTGAAAAACGATTGAATGATTTAAAAGAATCCGGTCTACAACATGTCGATATTAGTCAGTTGGAATTAGCTACAGCAGAAGCTCGTCGTAAAGTTGAAGTGAGTTTGCCTATGATTTGTCTGTTTGGTACATAAATTGGGTCAATGTCGATGTGTTTGTAGATTGCTGACAGACCTGAGTGCCAAGTTCTAAAAATTCCAGTGTTCTTTGTTCTCCCCCTATCCAGTATTTCCACATTGTTCCAATCGAATGTATGTCCATAACTGTCGGTGTGTATTGATATAAGCGAAGCGTTGTCGTGGCATTTGACTGCCGATTGGTGTTCACGTAAACGAAGCTGAAGAGGCCGTCCACTTTGTCCTATGTAATATTTTCCACGGTCTTAACAGTTGATTTTGGGGAGATATTTGGTTTTTCTTCTTGTCATTTTGTCCTTTGATTTACGTAGAATTGATTGGAGTGATTCGGTTGGTTTGTATGCTACACCTATTCCAAAATGGTTTCAGTAGTCGTGCTGTAATTTTCTGTATGTCTTTGTGCTGATGATGTTGAAGAACAGGAAGAAAAATGAAAGCTCCATAACCAAAATATCCAGCTCAAAGATCAAAACTCCATCAGAAACATCCAAATGAGCTACAAATTTTCTCCACCATCTCACTTATCATAATGATATAGAAATTGTTCATTTCAGTGAAAGTGAATACCGTATTTTACAATTTCAACTTGAAGCAAATAAAATCGACTAAATTTCGCTACATTTATGACTGATTAAACTACTCTCCTAGAGCTGATAACACAGGATTTATAATTCCGTAACTACATCATTGTAAATTGGATCACTATTTGACTTGGTTAAAGACAAGACAGTTAAGATTGACTAAGAGCTTAATCTTTGTCCACTTGATTGTCAAAGAACACTAAATAAACTTGAACAAAGCGTTTTGAATTATTCACCATAAAACTATCAAATATACATCTTGGTGTATGTGTTAGTTTTTTTCATATCAATGAAACTATTATGATCTATAACCCTAAACCTGACTTATATGATCGTAAAGCATCAGTTTGTACAATCCTTGTTCTTTCTCAGCTGTATCTCCTTTTCTTAAAAATTAATTTTTATATGTAACATTTCAGTAATCTGTTTCTCCACATTTATTATTAATAGACTGACTAAACTAAGCGAAGTAAGAACAACAAGATCTTGTTCAATATAGTAGATTCATGTCATTTCAATACTTCTTTGTCATCAGCTCCAAGAATCGTTAAAAATTACAGGATTTACTATCGATTATCAACAAACTTATGACTTGTTTCGATTGTTTTTTTTTATATATTCGTTGGGGATGTTAGATCCCCAAAACTCGCTTGATAAATATCTTTATTTTGGATCTATTTCATGGGTTGATCAGTTGCCCTTAGATCACATTTCACACCAGGAAAATCCGTGACTGTGACTGGTTACTGTGTCATTTTAGTGTACTATTTTTGTGAGTGTCCCAAAGATGTCTCTACGGGGTGTTTGTTGGGTGTTTGTATAATGCACTTTCTACTCTATATCAAGACTTCTTGCTGGTGAAATTGTAACAATCGGATCACAGTAGCCTACCTGGACACTGGTTCATTGTTTTGTTCTCGTTATTCGACTATGGTGAAATCTTAATACTTTAAGCATACCTAGAGACGAGAAGATAGGGCTATAATAATCAATAATCATGATCAAAGTAGGGTATTACTTAGTCGTATAGAAAATAATAAACGATTGCGTAACTAATCGACATGATGAAAGGCAAAAGCAAATTAATATGTAATCGTCCATAAGCAATCTGAATCATTTGATACAGTCATAATCATCAGTATCATAGTGATGGCTGTTCAAATGTTAAATGATGATATAAAAAGAATTGAGAAGTTCCATCTTTGCGCTGAAAAAGCGAAACCACACACATTTCAATGGTATCGTCGCAAAATTAAAAACACTGGCAATTCAATCAATCCATTATCTTCAAGTGTCCTTGTGATTTCGATACTTTATAAGCTACTGAATTGGTTGGGTATATAATACTTTTACACTTGCTTTTGTGTGTGTAGAGTATGATTTTCATATATCCATGGCATTAGGTGATGGGCTTGTAAATAATCGTGGTTGTACTTTGTCAGTTACTAACTAAAAGGACTGTCTTAAAGACGACAAACTGTAACTTCAAAATGATAGAGAATAAAAGATTATAATATAATGAGATGTTCCATATTTATCAGACAAGAAATAGAGTAGTGGTCAATTAAAATCTTATTGAACTGTTGTTGACTTTGAACTTGAGATTAGTGATATTCCATTGGTTAGAATGACAAGAATTTTGCATCTAACTCAAACTTAATGGTTAATAATTTTGAATAAGTAAATAGTTGTATGTTTTCGTTGGTCAAAAATGTAGTTTACCAATGGTATAAGTTTATATGTTGTTGGAGATGTTAGATCCCCATAAATGGCTTGATAAATGTCTTAATTTTGGATTTTATGTTTCCGAGCATGGGCTGATCAGTTGACCTTGAGATCACATTTAACATCAAGGATTCCTTGGCTGTGATTGGTTACTATGTTATTCTAGCGTGCTATTTTTGTTACTCTACCAAGGACGTTTCTATGATTCATAAATAAACGCGATTTGTGTGCTGGAATTCACTGTGCTTGTTGGGTGTTTGTAGAATAAACTTTCTAAGCTATGTTAAGACTTTTCGTTAGTCACGGATCGGAGCAGCCTACCTGGACGCTGGTTAATTGTCTCGTTATCGTTTATCGACTAAGGTAAACGAGAATAATAGTTTGTAACTATGAGCTTTAAGCTCTTTGGTAGCAAATTAATTGATGCTCCTAAATGTCTTTGTACAGGTGAGAGTGGAAAAAGCCTGCTCTTTCTTTGTCTCTCCACAAATAAATGGCTATGCTTATTCGATGACTACCAGGAAATTTCCACTCACTAACATTCCCATCACATGGGTGTTGTTTACCGAATTGAGGGGACGAAAAGCGAATGTTTGATCATATTGATGGGTATTGGGAATCCGCATAGAGGCGTTGGAAACCTTCATTTTAAATCACTGGTGTATAGGGGCTTCACGATCCTGACAGAACAAATGGTAAAATGATGATATTTTCGGCCAGCTGTTATCATTGGACTTCATCTCCTAAAGTTGGTCCACTACCTTGAAGATTAGACTTTTGGATCGTTGGTGTAGGAATCGACCTCCTAAGAAAACGGGGCTTTGGAATGAACCATGTGGTAGTATATCAGCTTCACACACAAATTCTTTGACTTGTGTGTCACATAAACATCCCTGTGTTTAAGTGGATAAAAAATTTAACCACCAAATTGAAAATGGTCAAACGGCCAAGGTTCAAGCTTACCACCTGAACCGTTTCATATCATGTGCTTCACCCACCGAGCGGTTAGTTCACATGGATGGACACTAATCCGCCAAGCATGCCAATACTAGGAACCCGGGGACTTCGCCACCTATTTGCTTATACACTATATTTTTCCAAGATTCTGAATATAAACTACTATTACTTTTTGTTAATCTACTTTATATACTTTAAAATTAATACAAGAAGTGCTCTTGTCATAATTAAATTTTAATTTTATCATTATTAAATTTCTTTTTATCACTTAATAATTTACATTTATTATTTAGAATTTATTCAGTTAAATAAAAAAAAAATATATAAAGTAGTATTATAGTTATTGCATCAAATAAAAAACTTATTCAGCCCATGAAATACTATTATCACCAACTATACTACTACCTACTTAACTAACTAATCTATATATTACTTACCCTAACTTCCTCCCAAAATTTATTGAATTGGAAAAATTTCTATTAATATGCTCCCATTTAATTTTTCTATGCTTTTTCTATCACATTTATGATATATTTTAAAACGACCTAATTAATTTTCTTTACATTTATAATTTCATATTTCCGATATATAATTATGAGAACCGATAAATATACACAGATATATATAAATAATAAATACACACGCCCACACACACAAACGTACACAATGTGTCTCTGTTTGTCCCCCCTCTATGTTTTTCTATTTAAATTTAGTCAGTAAATAAATGGTTGATTAAGTTTGGTGGATACTGACGATCATTAATCGATTGGTATTATTGACAGATTCAATGGAAATGCTAATTGAATAAATAAATCTTGATCATAATTTAAATTCAAATTAGAG